CTGCAGCCCCGTCAGTCGGTGCCCCCAGCCTACACCCCTCCCGCCACACACTGTCCACGCTTTCCACCTCCACGGAGTGAAAAATGCTGATTTCATGCCGGGACACACAAATCAAGCCAGAGCCAATGGGAGTGAAGCGGGTGGTGGGGGGTGGGGGGGACTGTACCCCTCTGGCTGAGAGTGAAACCTGGCAGGCTGTACCCCTCTGGCTAGAGTAAAGTGGGGGTGTCACAGGGCACCCCAGTGTAAACTGGGCCACCTGTCTGTGCGGCCTCACCCATGTGCTTAGAATTCAGTTGTACTGCAGGTGCACAGGTTCATTTACAAACAGAGTGAGGGAGAGAGAATAAAAATAAAAGTCTTTGCTGAAGTGAAGCAGTGAAGTCCTGGCTGACCAAATAGTACCTGCTACCCTTGGACTTCTTAAATATGTGAGTCACTAAGTTTCTTTTGAGAGAGAGAGAGAGAGAATGGCGCCCTATTTACCCCCCCAAAGTCCCAGAATGCTGCTCAGCCCCGCCCTGGGGTCCTCGCAGTTCTCTCTCTGGTGCTGCTGGGAGTTGTAGTTTCCAGTCACTGGGGCAGGGGGTGGGGTCCATAAGACTCCGCAGAGTTCCTGTAGGACACCCTTCCCCTTAACCGGGGGACTGACTGTACCCCTCTGGCTGAGAGTGAAACGGGGAGGGTTGTACCCCTCTGGCTGAGAGTGAAACGGGGAGGGTTGTACCCCTCTGGCTGAGAGTGAAGCGGGGAGGGGGGTCGTACCCCTCTGGCTGAAACCGGGTTTTCTCCTTCACCAACGAGCTTGCAATCTGACACCAGCTGCCCCCGCCTCCTCGCTCCCCTCCTGTCCGCCTCCGGTCTGCCCGCACCATGCCATGTGACGCGCGTGTCACCCCTGTGGATGCGGAGATGCTCCTGCTGGGGGAGACACGTAAACACACCGTGGGTGGGTCAGAGAACACCCCCGGGCTGGTGTTAATTGCGTAACTCTAGAGTTTGAGTACCCCGAATTCCAACCCCCGTGACCTTAGTATATACGTTTGGGGACACGGATGTAACTCAGCCCACGAGCTGAGCTGTGATTCACTGTCCGTCTGCAAGAACGTTCACAGAAAGAGGACGGTCAGCTGGAACTTGGACAAGAAGGAGAAAAAGGACTCAGGAATATGAACGGAAAGTTTCACCCAGCATGACCCAGGGAAGAACTCGCCGGAGGGGCACAGACGGTGGCCCTCTCCCTGCCGCAACCTGCTGCAGCGCCCCACGCCCCACGGCCAAGACGGGGCCGGCCGCGCTTACAAGGCCACGCCGACCGCTGCTGGCCCCTCCCCAGGCTCGGCCCGCCCTCCTGGCTGCACCCCAGCACCCGGCCTTCCTGCCTACCCCCGCACGTGCTCCCTCGGCGACAGCCTCTGCCCTGGGGGGTCTCTGGCGAGGGGCCCCTCCCCCCGCCCGGCCCAGCTTGCTGCCTCCCTCTCGCCCCGGCCTCACTTCGGGTCTCTCACGAGGCCAGGCCAGGCCTGCCTCCCTCCTCTC